AAGTGTTTGTTACACACATTTCAACAGGATAATAATATTCATCAGATTATGAGTTTCCAAATGATACCTTACAGGGAATACTTTGTACAACATAGATCATAGTCATAAAAAAGTGGTGAACGTGGGGTAGAGGGTGTCACAGCTACGCATCCTATGTCCTCCTGTTTTTCCTGGCTTCAGGGGAGAGGGATGGAGGCCTTTTCTTGATCCTTTGCCTGATGTCTTGAGAAGAGAGGCCAGCTGTCTTGGTCCTCCCATCTCAGCCACCTGCTCTGTTAGGTCCACTCTTTCTCCCTCGCTGCATGATTAACCAGCTTAATGAATGAATATGAACCACACTGAAGAAGTCAAACAAAAGGTGCAAAGGGTTGCTTTCTTTAAATGACATGGTTCCTTTTTCCTTTCGCAGCTGACATGTGTGCGAATTCGTCTACTTGTCCTGATCTTGCAACTTGCAAAAACATCCCTGGGGGCTACCACTGCACCTGCAAAGGCGGGTTTGTGCCTAGTTTTGGGGCAGAACCATTCATTGATCCAACAGTGAAGTGTGTTGGTGAGTATCGGCTCCGGAGTCCAGCTAAGTGAGCGGAAGCTCTGTAATGGGGCGACTGTAATGTAGGTTGCTCTTCTGTGCTTGGGAGCAGCTCTTGCTGTATCAATGTACTCTACAGACCTGCGAATACGATGCAGTGATTAAAGCCATGTTTACACTTCCAGCTGGGGGTGGGAGAGTATAAGCTCATAGATAGTCCGACAATGTTAGGGTTACCATCCGTCTGTATTTCCCCGGACATGTCCGGCTTTTGCGTCTCTAAATAGCCGTCCGGGAGGAATTGGTAACAAGGTTAAAATGTCCGGGGTTTTTTTCTCCCTCGCCTCCCTCCCTCCCTTCCATGCAGAGTGCGGCTGCTGATTGGGCGGCTAGGCCGATTGGACCCCACTCCCCATTGGCCTCCAGCAGCCAGGAGCCCTCCCCTGCCTCCCCCCCTCCCTCTCCTCTGTACGTCCTGTGTAACGCACAAA